TAAAGAAAATAATTTATTAAATTATCAACGTCGAATATATTTTTTTTCTTCATCAAATTCCACTCGAATTCCATTTGATGATTATATTTACCAAAATTCCAATTGGATTTCATTAAAATCATTTCTTCAGATTTTACTTCGATGGAGAAATTATTTATAATCTTAACAATCAAATTTGTCAATTACCATTAAAATTCTCATTTTCAATAATTTATATGGCAAATTTTGCTTATATAACACCAGTAGCGTGTACAATTCTAACATATTTTATTTTAGTATTTTATGTGAAAAAGATGAGTCAACGTGTTGTTTCATTAAATAATTTAATTCGTGCAAAAAGAGAATTAAAAATGGTCCGTCGTACAATAATTCTTGTTTTAATTTTAGTGATTCTTTGTTTTCCATATGCTTTATTTATCTTTTTATCATTTTTTATATCAATTCCAATTTATCATTTTCGTATTGCTTATGTTTTTCTCGATGTTGCATATCTCTTTGTTATTCTTGTTTTATATCAATTTACAGATCAATTGAAATTATCAATTACAAAGAAAATGAAAAGACAATCCATTCAAATCATGCCGACGATTACGTAATGTTGTTCCAAATTTAGAATAAAAACAGTTCGTCACGGACATTTTCTCAACTAACAAAAAACAAATGTAATCCATGTGGAAAGAGAAACGCAATCGAGAGAAAAACTGGTTTCTGAAAAATAATTTGATGAGACATTTCAAGTTCGTCTTTTATTTTTTACAAATGAATTAAATTTGATGTTGATCGTTGCGAAAGATTTGTTTTGTCTTGTAAAAGATCTCGAATTTCACATAAAACTTTCAATTTTTCATCAATTGGAGAAATAAATGGTTCATTGGATGAGTTTTCAGCTTGTCTTTGACGATGTGCAGCTTCACGAATTCTTTTTATGAATTTCATAATGAAGAAAAGTATCAAAGCTATAATAAATAAATGAATAATTTGTTGAAGAAATAAGCCATAACGAATAACAACAGGTGGTTGATCTTTTCGAAGAAAATTTCTCATTGGTATTGTTAAATTACTAAAATCAACTCCATCAAAAATTAAACCAAATGGAGGAGTTAAAATATCATCAACAAGTGATTTAACAACATTTTGAAATGCTGTTCCAATGATAATTCCTATTGCTAAATCAAATATATTTCCACGTAATGCAAATCTAAAATTCAAAAAAGAAATCTTTTTCATACAAATTTTTTTTTCGTTTTTTTTTAATACAAACTCTTGGAATTCTTTTCTCCATGTACAACAACATTCACGAACGTTGGCCATAAAAATTCGCTGTTTTTTCGTTGATAAAAACTGAAAAGAATCGAAATATTTATCAGTTATTGCATCATTGAAAAACAATTTTCTTTCGAAAAGAACGAAAAAATGATGATTGAAAGAAATATTTTTTTCGTTATATATGTCAAAGCATGTGATTTTATACATTCATAATATGTGACTCATTGTTTATCTTCAAACGAATGTTTATTTCTTTTAAATAAATAATACAATAGAGTAATCGTTGAAATTTAAATCTCCATTAAACGTAAAATTGATGAACAATTTTAAGAAATTGTGATCATTGTTGCATATTTGTTTAACAATAAATCAGTTTTTAAAAACTCTGCTCCTTCTTGTTCCACTGTCATGAGAACAAGAACATCACCAGAACTCTTCTCTTGCATCATAACACAGTAACCGGGAGGATAGATTTTACCAGCACCAGATGTTGCAGAAAATGGTTTTCCCCAACCAAAATCTAATTTCGGACCTTGTAAATCAAATCGACACCAATTTGTCAATATAATATCTGCTGACCAAGTAATACGACCAATTGGTTTATTATTTTGTGGATCTTCGAAGAATGAAATCTTGTGTGCAATTGCTTCAGGAGAAAGTTGAACTTTTAGTGTGTTTCTTATTGCGAGAGCGACATGAGAAGCTGCCTCACAAGTAAGTGAAGATAAATCGGAACGAGAAATAGTGGCACTCCAAAGAGTATTAAAGTTGCCAAAATATTGTCCATCAATCATATTTCGTTGAGGAGCTCTTTCTCGACCATCAGCAGCCATTGCAATGATTTCTGTTTGTGAATCTAAATGAGATCTTCCTTCAACTCTTGTCACTTTACCATTTTCTCGAGCACGTGTAATCACACCACAAAGAAGAGCAGCAAGTGCATCACCTGATGAAATCCAAAGATCAGATTTGTATTCGTCAGAAGAATCAATGGAAGGTGAAAAATCGAGTTTTAATCGTTCCATAGCGTTCTTGGTAAATTTCCATCTTGTTACATCTGATGATACCAATAAAGATGCAGATACTTCGGTTTGCGGAACAGAAAGTACTGTAAACGGAGGAGGAGGAGACGTTGGTAATGATGATTCTTTAATCAAATCAGGAAAAAAACGACCGGGAGTGCGAGACCAATCATCTGGAATTTTTGTGAGATCTATGGGTTCACTTCGAGCGAGTTGAGCCCAGAGTTCAAGAAAATCGAGAAAACCACATAGATCAGCAACTTGATGATGCATCGATGAGGCAACAGCGATGGTTCCACAGGAAAACTATTTTGGCAAGGGAAAATATCGGTAAAAAAAACATGTATTTTAAAGAATTTCACATTACCTGAGTTACTTTCACTGCTAATGTGCTTGATAAAGGAGGTAATAACACGACAGTTCGAGGCGATAGATCTTCTGAATCGCCAACAAACGGTGTGTCTCTCATTTCAACCAAAAACGGTGTACCAGAAATATTTTCAGCATCTAATGCGATATACACTTCACCATTTTCATCGGTTCGAACAGTTCCTGCTGCTGGTGGATACAATTCAAGTGCTTCCGCCAGGGAAAATTTCAGTTTGTCAATTACATTCGTAATTGTGTCGGTCGGGGGACGGTAAAATCGATGGTTGAGAATGTGGATTGGAGAACTGAGAAGATCCAAACCATGAAGTACTATTCTCGATGGTGGAGGTGGACGATTGTATTTCTTTGTTGGATAAATTGTATATGTTTCAATCGTCATTGTTTACACTACTATAAATGAAGAAGTAAATGCAAACAGTAATCAATCAAATAAAATGAGGACTAAAAGCAGCGTGAATTATTTCTGAGTTTGAAATTGAAAAAGAATAATAAGTTTCTCGTATAATTGTTTTAAAAAGTTCCTCTTTCTCAATATGTCTATCTACTGTAGCACACAAATCTCTAATTTATTGAGTTATATCAGAGAAAATAAGAATGAATAAAATTAAAATGCAAAATTTAAGTTTTTATTTCTCTTTTTCATATCTATGGACAGTTGAATTGTCGAATCGTGTGTCTCGATCTCGGTCTATGTTATTCGTCTATATCATTGAGATGTCACTGGCGATCAGATTGTATTTTCTCATTATTCTCGAAGGGTATCGGTGTGAAGCTAGCACATCTTTTGTTCGTGCTAGCGTCATACCGATTTAAAACATCACGACATAAATAAACGTCTTCGCCTAAAAAACAAATTTCACGAACTTTGACCATCCGAATCAATTCTCTCCAAATGAAACTTTGTTTTTCTTTGAATCAATTGACAAAGTCAACTCAATCGTTGCAAACATCTTTTCACTCGATCAATTCAATCTGAGTGGATGAAGAGTTTCATATGGAAATGAGATTGATCCTGTTGGAATGTGAAGGAAAAGGGACTGGCCTTGTTCGGCAAAATTTCTCATTGGATTGTCATTCATCACCCATCGAAGAAGAGGAAGATGTGAATCGTCCTCTAACATTTTTGAAAGAAAGAATCGTACTTACGGGTAGATCTTCCGTAGCACCATTTATTTCGAGTATCATTATCATACTCAAACTAATTGCTAACGGTCGTTATAATGATTGTTAGCATTATTCTTTCTTCAATCAATAACAATAGCAATCATTGAAACAAGTACAACAAATTTGATTAAACTGATCGTGATAACTATAGTAAACGCTGGTTGCAAGGCAACAAAGAACCTATTTATTCGTTGTTATGTAGAAAAGTTTTTTGAATAACCCAAGTCGAACAATTCCATATTCGGATCCCATCAGATCCAATATTGGATTTTCTAAGGGTCATCATAGAACATAGCTAAAAAGATCGCTCATAAAATTTGCAACAACCGACGGAATTTTTCTAGTCGGATTCCAATGCAATTCCGTTTCCAGGAATCCGGTCGGATTTGTTGACCAGGGTATCCCAATGGTCAATCCATGTTCGGTTGTCAGCTCGTTTCCAAAAAGTTTCTCTTGCATTTGTTTCACCAGTTCCAAACGATTCTATGTAGAAAAATAAAACAGAAATTTCAGAGTGACACATAGGAGGAAATGATATGTTTATATAGTATCTACCATTGACTTCGATCTTCCAAAAGGAAACAATGAAAAAAAAAAAGAAAGGGTGAATGTGTCAAACGAGAAGCTTGTCGTCCAATTAAATTGCGATGAAGAACTTGTGCAACAAGGCAACGACCAATCAAAGCCACTAATTCTACGTTTAGCGATGAAAGAAGACTTACTTTCTTTGTTCTTCCGAACACCATCAGTTCATTTTGAACCAAATTTAATTCAACAGCAACAGGATCAGGATCGGCGATCTTTTCTAATCATTAATACTCAACACAATCGAACAATACGAAACAATTTACCATTCCTTATACGTTTTTTCATCAGATGATCACATATACAACCAAAATCCATATTTGACACTGTGTAGAATTTGGATTTACCAGTTGTTGTTTTGTCGAGCGTAAGAATAATTTCTTGAAGAAAACTCGACGTTTATTAATACTTACCATTCGATGAATAAATAACGACAATTTCATCTAATTCGAAATCGGCTAAAGACAATGCGAGTAATGGAGATGAATGATGCGATGTTTTGTTCTGATTAATATCAACCGTCGTTATTTCAGTTTCACCCGATGCAATTACCATGTCATCGGTTGGATTCATTATTTTACACACTTGTTCATCCATCCTTTGTGAAGAATGGTATTTCCGTAGATGGAAATAATCGCTATATGAAGACCTCTGCTTTATTAGATGAAAAACGTTACATATATATATGTGTGTGTAAAACGGTTGTCAGGGAAAAAGAGGATTGGGAGAGATCCAAGTAATGTCATACATAAGTGTGAGAGAACGAATATATACGTATGACGTCATGAACATATGATATGAGAGAATGGACAAATCCATGTATATATGTGACGTCATATGAGTGAACAAACATATGCTATCAGCTGTTTGACTGGCATCCTAACACCTTCCCCTCCACAAGATGAAGCGTCCCGCTCATCATTATAAAAGAATAAGCCATCAGTAGGGTCGAGAAGAACTTGCCACCTTCCTCTTATTTGACACTACCATCAGATGGGTAAACTAGTTGGAATTTAGTTGATAAGACGAATTCGTGAGACATGCACCTTTTCGACGTGACCATCATTAACATGTTTGACTAAATAGTTGAGACGACCGATTTGACGTATCACTGCAAAAGGGCCATAATATTTTGGTGAAAATTTCTTCAGATGCTTAGGCATCATTTGTTTGAGAAAAACTAGTTGATTGGGTTGAAGTGGGGAAAGATCTTTCCGTCCAGTATCGTAAGTTCGTTTATAGATATCTTGTTGCTGCTTGATTCTGTACCAGGCTGTGGATTTCGCTTGTTGCAGAAACCTAATTAGTTGGTTATAATAATCGCCAGCCACAGGTAAGTTCGAAATTGAAGAGTTGACATCGAATGGAAGAATAGCATCACGACCATACATCAATTTGAAAGGTTCCATTTGAATAGTTGCTTGTTTGGCTGTGTTGTAGGCAAAAGTGACGAATGGTAAGTAGCAATCCCAGTCACTTTGTTGTTGGTTGACGTAGGTTCCTATGGAATCGACCAAAGTGGAATTGAACCTTTCAGTAAGTCCATTACACTGTGGGTGATATGTGGTAGTGGTTATGTGATTGATACCGCATCTTGAAGCAATGGCTTCGAATACGTGTGACATGAAATGGGATCCTCGATCAGTGAGAAGCTGTCTAGGAACTCCAAAACGTAAAATAACCTGCTCCACTAAAAACTTAGCTGCTGTTTCGGCTGTACAATTCTTCGTAGCCTGGGTAATAGCGTAACGTGAGAGGTAATCCGTACATACTAAAATGTACTTGTTTCCACTCGATGACGAAGGAATTGGTCCCACAAAGTCTAAACCCATCATATCTAAAACTCCATTGGGTGGTTCGATCGGTTGTAGTTTACCGACTGCTTTTGTTCGCGATGTTTTGAAATGATTACATTGAGTACAGGACAAAATATACTTTTTAATTTGGTTATACATACCGGGCCAGAAATATCTATCACGAATTTTGTGCCAGGTTTTGGTGATACCTAAATGACCAGCGGTAGGATTGTCGTGATACGCCGCAAGTAAGGGATCAATCATAGATTGAGGTATATATGGTACGGTCAAGGTGATGTTCCCAGGACGATGAATAATCTTACACAGAACATCATTTGCCACTGAATATGATTGTTTGTATTTGCCAAGCAGGACTTTTTCATATAAATTGTGAATGCAAGTATCTTGCCGTTGCTCGTCTTTGATTTTTGAGGAATCAAACGTTGGCAGAATAGCCATTATTTTGGGATCCGGTTGGCCATGCATGAGTTGTTGTTGTTGTTCATCGACGAGATTATCTGGAGTTTCGGTTGGATAGCGTGACAAACAATCGGCAACACAGTTAGATGATCCCGAGGTGTATTTAATATTGAACGTATATTCCTGGAGTTGTAATGACCAACGATCTAGGCGACCATTTTTAGATGATTGTTTATTAAGCCAACACAATGGATGATGATCGGTGATGAGAGTGAAGTCACGGCCATATAGATATGGTCGAAGTTTGCTAATACACCAGACCATAGCCAGACACTCTTTCTCAATGACTGAGTATTTCTGTTCCTGTTTAGATAATGATCGTGATAAGTACTGAATAGGTTGCAAGTGACCATCGACTGTAACTTGGTGAAGAACGCCACCGATACCCGCATTCGATGCATCCGTGTTGATTTTCAGTTTCAATGGTGATTGGCCATCGAAAAAGGCAAGTAGAGGATATTGAGACAGTTTTTGCTTCAAAAGATCAAATGATCTCTGACATTCGATTGTCCAAAGAAACTTAGTGTTCTTAATCTTGAATCTATTTAGGGGAGCGGCAATGCTAGCAAAGTCCTTGATAAACCGGCGATAAAATTGGGCCATCTGTACAAAGGAGTAGGCAGCTTTGGCAGTTGTCGGGACGGGAAAATCAATGGTCTTTTTGACATTCGCAGTGGTTGGTTTAATACCGTCTTGTGTAATACGAAATCCTAAGTAGTCTAGCTGTTTGCGAGCTAAAGAGCATTTCTTCGAATTCAGCTTGACGTTTGCCTTGTGTAAGGCGCAAAGCACTTGGTCTAGATGTTGAAGGTGTTGATCAAACGAAGGTGAGTAGACAATGATGTCATCTAAATACACCAGCGTGATATCCCATCGAAGCGAACCTAAGACAGAGTTGATTGTGCGTTGGAACGTGGCAGGCGCGTTGGATAACCCAAATGGTAACACGTTGAATTCGTATAAACCATCAGTGGTAATAAACGCCGTTTTCTTTTTATCTTCTTCGGCAATGGGTATTTGCCAGTACCCTGCCTTGAGGTCAAAAGTCGTAAAATAGCGCGAACCAGCTAATTTATCTAGAATATCATCAATTCTGGGTAACGGGTAGACATCTCTTTCTGTGATCAAATTAAGTCGGCGATAATCAACGCAAAAGCGTGGACTACCGTCTTTCTTCTTGATAATGACCACCGGTGAAGACCAAGGGCTAGTGCTTGGACGGATGATATGGCTATCCAGCATTTCCGTTACTTGCTCATTGATAATTGCTGTTTCCTTAGCTGATTTTCGGTATGGATACGATTGAATAGGTTGATGGTGTGGTTGAATTGGAATGCGATGGTGTACATTATTGGTTTTCATGAGAGAAGGAGCTGTTGTATCAAAAACGGATTCATATTTCTGCAATATCGGCAAGATCTGTTTTTGCTGATATTGCGGTAAATGTGAAATAATATTAGGAATGTGCGTGACTGCCGTTGTCTTGCCGGAATTCATATCTGTTGCAAGTGTCGAAATATGTTGGTGTTCGTGAACTGTAAGAGGCTGAACATAATGACAACTATTATCAGAGCAATAACTGACAAAACCAAGTTTGGTTCCTTTTTTGACTGTTTGAGTACTAGGAGATGGATTCATTAGAGTTATCGTAGTTTGACTATTGTCAATTGAGACCAACGCATGTGGTGCAATGATCATTTGTTTGTTCAGGATCTTTGAAGACGGAGTGAATACCGCTGTTGGCCATGGGGCCGATGTTGCAGCTGCTACGACTCGTCCTGAGAGTGGTGGGATTTCAATATCATATAGAGTATGGATGTTACAAACTTGGGATTTGTTGGAGGGATTCAGAAAACTCACTTTCGTGTATTGATGTTCTGTTTTTATTGATAAAGTTCTTTTATGGGAATCAATGCGCGCTTTGAATAGGTTACAAAAATCGTTTCCTAATAATAGTTCAGTGCAAAGATTCTCAATGATGAAAACGCTAATGGGCACTTGGATGTTGTTGATGGTTATCGGTAGCATCACCCGTCCAATGGTTGACAATTGAGTATTATTCGCTGTTTTGCATGATGTTGTAGATGAGTATACTGTATAGTTGTGGTTTAATTTGTGGAAATAATCTTGATTAATAGCCGAAATTGTAGATCCTGTATCGACCATAGCTCGCACGTCAACAGAGTCAATACTGATCGGAATATAAATAAGTTGTGATGGATTTGGTGGAGTACGGGTGACACTACCATCCTGCGGCACCCTGATTAGTTTAAATGACTTGGACATTGAGAAGCATAATGTCCAATGCCATGGCAAGTATAGCAAACCAATTCAGATCCTTGATTTCGTGGTTTTCGATAAGTCGAATGAGGATATCCGTATTGATTCCATCTAGTATATGAAGAGTATCGTTTGTTTTCATTATTGGATCTGACTTGGCGATGGGTGTTGTTGATAGAGGTCTGTCGAAGTGCCGCTGTGGTTTCGTCGATATCTACCTGTGAAGGCGGCGATGGTAAAACAGGTTGACTCATTTTTGTGGCTGCTTCGGTTCTCTTCGCGTGCTCAAATAGATCCTGACATGTTTTTGGATTAGTCAATATAACATGTTGTTGGATTGATGGTTTGAGACCGCGCACAAGATATAAAATCTTTTCGTCTTCGGTCATAGTCGGATTGTAACGGGCACACATGGCGAGCATATCGAAATAATAAGCTTGTACCGATTCATCCCCCCCTTGACGTCGATTCATTAACTTGGTTGCAATTTGAAGTTGTTGGACTGATGAAGTGAATGTAGTAATAAAATCCTTCTTAAACTCATCATAGTCCTCCTTGTGATGTTCACTACGAAACCACTTCTTGACATCTTCACCGAAATACATCGGAAGGAACAGACGTCGATCCGCTTTCGAAATTTTGATCGCATCGAATAATTCGTCGATAGATTGTAACCAGATGGTGGGATCTTGGTCATCTGATCCTTTGAATAGTTCAATGGTTTGGATACTTTTTAACAACAACTGCGTTGGTAAGTGAGATGCCATGATACGTTTCGCCTGGTTTGCTTGAAGCTGAGCTTGATATTGCGCAAGATTAGCTTGTGCTTGGTCGTCGGTTGTATTCCGTGTTTCCACCAGTCTGATAATTTGCTAATCCGAAGTAAGCGAAGCTGTTTGTGATGATGAATTGACAAACGCTGGGCCAGTGCACCAATGTGAAGAATGGTATTTCCGTAGATGGAAATAATCGCTATATGAAGACCTCTGCTTTATTAGATGAAAAACGTTACATATATATATGTGTGTGTAAAACGGTTGTCAGGGAAAAAGAGGAT